GTATTATTCATGCCAGACCAGTAGTGCCTGCACACATACATAAAGACTGAACATGTAATACGCATGATGTCACGGTTTTTCAGATTAGATGGTCACTGCAGTCACGCAGATCCTGTACGTGTCCAGCCCAGATGGTGGATCAGCACCTAGAGAGGACCTCTACAGCCCTGAATGTCAGCGGAGATCAGGACAACTAGATGAGCCAGAAAGACAGATCCCTAGACGGCCACCGGGACAAGACCACAAGAACCAGTTGAGTCCTCTGCACAATCTCACTTTGCTGCAGCCTGGAATTGAACTGCTGGTTTCGTCTGGTCAGAGGAGAACTGGTCCCCCAACTGAGCCTGGTTTCTCCCAAGGTTTTTTCTCCATTCTGTCACCGATGGAGTTTTGGTTCTTTGCCGCTGTCGCCTCTGACTTGCTTAGTTGGGGACACTTCATTTCCAGCGATATCGTCGACTTGATTGCACAGAAAAGTTTAAACTGAACTGAGCTGGACGATGACATCACTGAATTCAATGATGAACTGCCTTTAACTGAAAAATTAGTGTTTACTATTGTCATTTTGCATTATTGACACACTATTTTCCTAATTAATGCTGTACAGTTGCTTTGACACAAACTGTATTGTTAAAAGCGCTATATAAATAAAGGTGACTTGACTTGATTTGACTACAAAGTCACATTTTTGAATAGACGTTTGCATTTTCAGCCCCTCAAAACACCACTGTGGTGTAAATGACTAAAAAGCATAAGAACTTTTTTTTTGTTTTTAGCTGAAAACAGTGGCATGTAAATGCCCCAAGATGATAAAAAGAAAAACATATGTAGACATGCTTGTAACCATCAATTAAAAAAAATAACCACTGTTGGGGGTAACGCATTACAAGTTAAGTTATGTAATCAGATTACTTTTTTTAAACTAGTAAATTAACACATTACATTTTAATTTACAAGAAAATATCTTAGCTACTTTTTCAATGGGATTCGTTACTTTTTAGCTAGTAACGCAATATTGTAATGCACTCTAGTAACTTTCCACAACATTGGAAATAATGTTAAAAAGTAATTAAATAGTAACAATTTATTTTCTTTAATTATTACTTTTAAATGTATGAAGCATTTTTACAAATAGCATTCATCTTTGAATTGTTATTATACAACAATTTAGTTGCGTTTACATTTATGTTGGAAATTGCCATAAATAAAGGTTTGACTTGTAAAAAGCATTACATTTTATCATTGAAACGTATTAATTTAATTGAAACTTAATAAATAATTACTGAATTTTCTGAGCGCTCCGTTGGCTGCAGTTCCAGTCCTCGAATCAACAAGTGAGTTCTTTACGAGTCATCTTAATCGTTCCGATTTATTCACAAATGCTGATTCATTCAGGAACAAAACAAGAGACTGTCTGTGTACAGAATCGCTACTATATAGCAGACAAAAAAAAATAACATTTGTGGAAATAGATTAAGAGTATTCATAAAACAGTAGACAAAAATTACCTGGATGATTTACTACAACCGGTGTGATTCTGAAGAGCTCACTTTACTTTCAGTGAAGAGATGCAACTGAGGCTGGTAGGTCACATGACAATGACAATATGAGGAATGAAGTATGTCTGAATTATATACTACACACATGGTACTTCATAGAACATGCTTTTTTAAGGGTACCTAGCGATTTCGGTACAGCCACTGTCTGTATGAATAAGTCATTGAATAATTTACTCAACCAATTTGTTAAAGGGGTCATAGGATGCCCATTTTCCACAAGTTGATATGATTCTTTAGGGTCTTAATGAAAAGTCTGTAACATAGTTTGGTTAAAATTTCTCAATGGTAGTGTAAAAAACATTTTTTACCCTGTCAAAAACAGCTCTTTTCAGAGCAAGCTGTTTTTGTAGCATTTTCCTTTAAATGTTAATGAGCTCTGCTGACCCCGCCCCTCTCTTCCGAGCTGCTCTCAGAGAGACCGGTGAAACAATGGCAGACTGATGACAGTCACTCAGGGCGGGTCTGAGGTAAGACACCAGTCCAGTCTGTGCTGAAATGCTACTGTCAATCAAACTATCGTGGGAGGGGCCTGTCTGTGTGAGGTCACACAGACAGGCATCTGAGATCAGCTTGATTTGAGAAAGGGGAAAACATTTAACCAGATAAAAAAAAAACTCTGGGTGGATTTTATCATTTTAGGGTGGTAGTGTACACACACTGCCAACACACATTTCAGTTCAAACAACTTGTAAAAGTGCATTTAGCATCCTATGACCCCTTTAATATTAACTTGTTGTTTATTTACCCAATGTATAAAAGCAATATTACACAAACAAATTACATGGAAAATTTAATACATTCGTCATTTGGCCATGTCATCCATACAAATTGAAAAGTAGCTCCAGCTTTTGTGAAGCTAAAAGTTTGTTGTCCCAACGAAGGAGAAAGATGCACCATGTCATTGACCCATTACTATCTATTTATATGTTCTTATCATGTTTGTTTATATGTTGTATACATTGTTACCCCATATTTTAAAAAGGTACTTTTTTTAAAAGATAGTTAAAATGGTATGTACAGTTCTTTTTTATTATTATTAAGAGTCTCAAAGAAACTTTTGACCATGACTGTTAAAACCCACAAATAAAAAGTACCACAATAAAACAAACATACAACTTATTTTGATGCTCATCTCAAAATTACGCTCACAGTACGGACAAGTAAGTGTTCATGTAAATCAAGATGAACCGATGAGCTATGAATGGGGCATTTTTAGGTTATGCTTCTAAAATATTCATGAGTTGAAACTTTATCTTGAGAAGGATAGGGATGTGACTTTATCATAAAAGGTATCATAAACAAGATTAGGGAATATCGTGACACAGTTGGCACAACAAGACTGTTTACAATTTTGCCAAGACTTAAAAAAAAGTACACACTGTTAATCTGTGTAATGAATGAGAAAATGCCAGAGAGGTAATGGATGCCTGCCACATAGCGGATAAATAATTGAGCGTCTGGGGGAACAGGAGAGGTGGATGGGATCGGATGGTGCATCTGTGTCACTGCATTGCCTGGCTTCTCTTTCTGCATCCACCAGCATGGTCACCACGTCAACCAGCCATAGAGGGAGAACAGGTGTTTACTTCCCGTTACCAACAGCAATGCCATTCATTTATTGACCAAACCACTTTGAGTTGGAGGGGTCTTGCTAGGCAGGTTCAGTGGTGTTCATATAAAATGTTCCGTCACTAACCCTAGTCCTAACCTAACCCTAACCCTAACTTGTATCTGATATTATACAATGACTTTGTTTTGCTAATTCAACTCTTGTGTATGATTCCTTTTAATGTAGTGTTACAAACCATTCATTTGACTTTGGTACCAAAGGACAACAGCTTGGTGAATCTGCACATTTAATAGAGCTGTCAAAGTGTTTTTGAGGGCTTACTTTTAATGCTCAAGCTGTTAGCAGGTTAGGTGAGAGCAACTCTGTCAGTGAAGATTGGGGGTCAGCCAAGGTGAAAGTTTGTGCCATTCAGTTGTGAGCCTCAACTTTCCTGCCAAGTTAATATGGGTGATCAGTATTTGCCAAGGTGATTTCCTGTAAAAATAGAATAGAAAAATAAAATCTGCCATATATTTTGTGTTTACTTTTATTAATACCCTAAATATTTTATGCAGCACGGGCCACGGCATATTTTTATTGATCTACAATAATCAGATAATAAGGTATAAATGGACTTAGTAATATTGAAAATATGCAAAACCGTTCTTTGATTACACATTTGATGTATTCCTTGGGCTAACTGTGAGATAATATAGTTCTGGATATATTGACTAGCCTATACGAATTCAAAAATTAGCCAATTATTATGTAAGACTCTTAATACCACCTTCATGTAATATATAATTGACATAATTTGTAGAATACAATTAAGAACAAACATGATTTTTCATTTTGGCACTTATTTGTATTATTACTATTGATTATTATTACAAAAAAAAATATTTGTCTGTTTTTCGATATGAAAATAAAATTCATCATTATTAAACTAAAATTACTAAAAAAAACTAGCAATATCATTATATTATAAATGTAATGAACATTTAAGACATTCATATGAAATTAAAATGACAATATTATTTAATTTCAAATAATCAAAAACAATATATTAATATTAATTGCTAAGTGTCATATATTATTTAAAGGTAACACTTTAGGTTTGGGAACACATATTGACTATTAACTAAAGGTTTGCCCTCAATAAACTCCTACTTACTGCTCACTGATTGTAAGTAAGGTACACTCTAAAAAATGCTGGGTTAAATACAACCCAGTGCTGGGTAAAATAGGGACAAACCCAGCAATTGGGTGTAGTTACGTTTAATTGAGGAGGATAAAGATATCTGGAATATGATCATGCAGAATAAGGCATTAATATCTGCTTTTTAAGTTCTAATAAATAGCCAACAATGCTATATGCACTTCACTGCGTTGTTTAAGGGTTAACGGACATGTCCGTAAAATTACCGGCAAAAATTACTAGTAGGCTACTTTTTTTTTTTTTTTTTAACAGTGTAGGCCTAGTTAATAATGAATAGTGTTACCCATTTAAAACAATCACTTCGCTGATGAAGTGTAAAGTATTGAAATACTGTCTAATGTTTTTGTCCTGTGGTGCAGTAGGCTTGCGCGACAGACCACTTGTAAGTTGAATAGAGGAGCAGGTGGTGGCGGGAGGGCGGTGTGAGGTTGGAGGTG